GTCTAGTTGGGAGCCTCATGAATTCAGTTGCATATTCTGTGAACTTGATGCTGCAGCTTCTTGTGTTGGGGAGAGTCAGGACACCGGTTCATCTTCATCATCATCACTGAGACTGGCAGCGCAAGAGCAAAACGAGTATGGTCATTTGATTTTTTCCTCTCTGTTTTCTACTACTACTGGTTAGTGAATTACAAATATATGAACCCTCCCTATTTGTTTACGAACCAGGGGTTACCAAGTCACTGAAGCTCTACGTGCTCAGATGGAAGTCCAAAGAAGACTACATGAGCAATTGGAGGTTAGTTTTCTTCATTTCTTTTGCTGTTGTTCTTCAAGATACAAATCACCATGTTTACGAGATATTTGACTCAAAAATCTACAAATTACAGTAGAACCGTTATCATAAGTTCCTAATAACTGTTTAATCCAAAAATTAGGATGTGGCTGTTACAAATATTCTCTTTCTCCACTTTGCAAATTAGAATCGCTTGAGGTCATAACTTTTGTAGGAGTTTATGCAACAGGCTATATTGTTAAAAAGCAAACCTTTTGACTGGTCTTTTAGTATGGGCAGGTGCAACGGAGACTCCAGCTGAGGATAGAGGCTCAAGGAAAGTACCTGCAATCGATTCTTGAGAAAGCTTGCAAGGCCTTTGATGATCAAACTGCGGCTTTTGCTGGGCTTGAGGCAGCTAGGGAAGAGCTATCAGAGCTAGCCATCAAAGTGTCCAATGGCTCTCAAGGAACAACAGTCCCGTTCTTTGATGCAACTAAGATGATGATGATGCCATCTCTGTCCGAGCTTGCAGTAGCCGTAGACAACAAAAACAACATCGCAACCAACTGCTCAGTAGAAAGCTCTCTGACGTCCGCCACCAATGGGAGCTCGGTTTCTGCTGCATCGATGAAGAAGCGGCATCGTGGGGACAATGTGGGCGTCGGGTATGAAGCGGGATGGTTTATGCCTAGTAGTACCATTGGATAAAAGTTAGGAGGAAAGAAATCAATTTGGAAAAAAGGTAGAGATAAGAGTAACTCTTATTTACTTGCTTTTGGGGGAATGTATTATTCGATACAAACTTGTCATCAAAATTTCATCGTAGACTACTCATGTATATATTTGATGTTGAAGCTTTAGTGTTTCCTTTTAACCTTGACTTATTATTTTCTTCTATTAAAGGCAGAATGAAACTACAAGGA